AATATAAAACTGACCTTTACAAAGTGTGTGTTTTGGTGGACTAGTATTTTGTAAAATAGTCATTTCAGTTATAGTACATTTTATATATATATATGCACACACTATTACTATTTACAGGTAAGTTCTTATTTTTCTCAAAACATAAACAGTAAATAATAAAAAAAAAAGTATAGCAAACAATTATCTTTCCAGTTATGAACCTTGTACTTGTTTACTGCTTATTGTAGGTTGCTGAGATTTATCAAATTTTGCACATGGAGGATGTGAAACATACGTTTTATATATACATTTTAAAATAACCAAAATTCATCAATTGCTAAATCAAGACCACAGAATTCCACAGAATTTGAAGCTCACTAAAACATTACCTTATCGTTTGAAATCTAGCAACAAAATGAATTTGCTGCCCGAATATTTTGAAAAAGGCTTTGTGTATTTTCATGTTATTTGGCAGCTTTCAGTAAACGTACAAATCTTGTACACAAAAATCACTTTTTAATTACATATTTTTGTAAAACGTTGAATATATGGAGTCAATATTCAATAATCTGAGTGCAAAGTGATTTTGATATTAATCCTTTTGACACGTGGTTGGTCGATTTGACAGTCACATGACCTTCTGTACTCTTTTAAAGTTGACGTCAATTTAATACTTATAACTCTCTGTATATTGGGTATATTTTCACAAAATTTGGCAGTCTTGCAGATAATATTACAAGTCTTTCACTTACAAAATGTCATATTTTTTTGTGAAGTACTTTTAATAAAATAAAGTTTTGTCCATGAATATATTGAGTATTTGTTTTGAATAGTCCGTGTGCAAAGTAATTTTCATGTTAAAATTAAAAATACTTTTCACCATCTCAAAAATCTCAGATTTTCATTGTGTAATCCCTAAAACCTCCTAAATGCATTTCAACCATTTTTTTTTTCAATAAATCTTTATAGTTTGTTATTTTCTCGACCCTAATCTCAAAACTGGATCGGTCAATTCGACTGACCTTATAACCACCAGAAAAAATCTAAATAAACCTAAATTAACCTTCTTTTCTTTCTAGTATGACTTCAACTTGTAACCTGAAACTACATTCATTTATCCTAAGTAGCTCTAAGTTTATAACATTATACGTGTATTTATAATTCAATTTTATTGTTTTATTGCCATATGAACAGTGTCTAACTGCTATCTGTGCCATTATAAGTTGTAAATCACTCGGGGAATGTGCAACTCACATTATGTTTTCAAATTACATTACCCACAAGCTGCTCATGTGCATGCTTTGTGAACAATTTTAATTATATTATTATTATTATTACTTATTTTACTCTTAAATAATTTAAAAAGATCCATACTTTTAAGTTTAGTTACTTTTATAATAATAAATAAAGAATAAATATGAAAAACAGAAAATAAAGTACTTACCCAATCTTCTTTTTTCTTGTCCTCAATTGTCGAGTAGAGTTAAGCCTGATTTTATTTAAGTGATTATGGTAAAGCACTTAATTTTTATTTATGTAAGTAATACACCAAAGAATATAGACTAATAACATGCAATAAGTAGACAAATTCACTTCTAAAACTTTTCCTGGCTTTCCAACTATGAGATAAGAGCCATTACAAATTCATCCAAGCTAGTCGTTAACTTTCCCATGGGAATGAAATAGCTACTCCGAGTAACATAGACGGTTATCTGTTCAGAACACAATGTTATATAAAATGCCATTTGATAGATGAAAACCGTGACTTTCTATTGGTTATAAATAATATATAATGAAACTTAAGAGAGAACTATCAACCAATTGTGAAAGAGAGGATGTGGCAGGAGGGGTCTGATTTTCTCTTTGATAGCTCTGTAACAAATTGAGGATTTTTAGAAATATTTCCTTATGAAATTAAGAATTTAAAATGTATATGATGATTTGATTTATTACATGTAGTTCCACTTAAATTTTGAATGTAACTCTTAAAATGTTGTGACATGCGCACTTTGACCTACCCTTAGCGAGAAGGATAAGAGTTTTCTTCTTTCCATGGTTGGAAAGTGTGGAAGTGAATAATTTAGCTTTTTGAGATTATTTAAAACGTGTTGGTATCTGATTCAAGAATGGTGGTCCATCTTTCATGATGTTTTGAAAGCTGAGCCATTCTCTCAACTTGCCCAGGAAATGATGCCCTTCGTAATTCAAGACTTGACCATTATTCATTATAGGCATAGCCTCTTCAGAAATTTCTAGAATGTAGAAGGCAAATGTTGTTTGGAAGTGATAAGTCTCAGTATTTTCACTATCAGCCAGTTTTAAGAAGACTTGAGTTATTTCTTTAGTTTATTGGTGAACAACATGTTGAGAAGAACCTAGGATTTGATTTATATTATCTGTGCATTGTGTATTGATTGTGAAGCATATAATTAGATTCATGGTGTTGCTTAATTGAAGGTTCATGACATGGAGCTATTCAACTATGGAGTGGTTAGGGTATTTCTCTTTGTAGTAGTTACCAAGTCTTGTTCATGTTGTTGACATTGTTACAGCATCAAGAAATGCTACAGTCTTCTTACTTCCATGATCCTTGAGTATTTTCTCAGCAGTTTATTTGTGCCCACAAGAGCTGGGCATTTTAATTACTTACCTATGAGCAGCAATGGAGGGATGGTGGCTGTATAATTGATTGAGTCTGCCTATTGATTAGAAAATGCTACTAAACCCTCAACTCTAGTACTCTTGGTTTGTTGGGAAAAGGGTTTTTGTAGACAATTATTGCTAGTGTAATAATTATACGGAGTGTTGTTCTTTTTCTTTCCATCACACTTAGATTAATCAATATAATTGATTACCTATGGGCATCAATTAGTTTAAAGTAGAACAATCAACTACTGTTTCTGATTGTTACTGTTTTTTTTATTACTTTAACTATCCAGTAATAAAACTTGATTAAATTGCTTTGTCATTTAAAATAAATTAATTCAAATTATTGTTTGTGATTATTTCAGTTATCTAGTAATTAAAATTATAGTTAGTTAAATCATTGTCATGAAAATAATCAGCTAATCAAAAGTAGTGTATGTATATGTGTGTGGATAGGGAGGTAGGTACAGTTTTACCCTTTAAGTATGAGACTCAAATCAAATTTGTGATAAACATGAAAGTTTAAAAATTATGTTCTGCTTGTTTTTTTGGTTAGCTATCAAATAACTACTAGACACCTGAATATTTGTATGTTTTCTAGGGAGCAAAGTGTTCCCTGGGTACAGTGCAGCAAAATACTCAATGACTTCTCCTCATCAGCATGTCTACAGTTCCGGGGCTATCTACCAAGGGGGAGAAAGGAAAGTCGAAGTATGTGGCTTTAGATATAAATAATTTGTACAAAGGAAAGAGTCTTGAAAACCCCAAAACGTCTGGTAAGTGATAATGTATTTCTTTAAAAAGTAGATTATGACGATAGTTATCATTATTTTCAGTTTTGTGGTATTTCTTTTATCAAAAATCACTATCTGAAAAAACTTCAAATTAAAGTAAGTAATTGTAATTAAAAATGAAAGAAATATTTTGATGTCTTGTATTTCCACTTAACCCTCAATTGTAGTAGGTCAAAGTGCACATGTAACAACGTTTTACATAGTTGCATTTAAAATTTAAACTATATTATCCATGTATATGAATAAACTTGGCATAAAAATGTAGCTAATAAATCAAGTTTTTGATACTGTTTTAATTTCAAAAGAAAATAAATTGTCTCCCATGTCTGTTTTATGCAACATTTCTTCACTTCAATTTGCCCATTTTCAGTTTTTCATCACTTCTCTAATGTCTTGTTTTATTTAAATTACTCTTTATAGTATAGTTATTACTAAGGCATAGTTTAATTTTTATAGCCATACATCTTTGTTTACATATATATAAACCACAGTCTAACCCATTTGCCATGTCCTTCTGTCATATCCTCTTTCAGAAATTGTCAACAATTCTGTTAGCTAGTATATCATTTATAACCAATAGAAAGAAAGTTTAAATTTACTGAATGACTTATAATGCTGCCCACCAAGTAGATTTTTAATTTTTTTGCATGTAAGTTGAAAGTTGATATCCCATAGTTCATATGAAGAACCAAAGAGAATTATTATAGCTCTAAGTATGCATGTCAAATTCTTTTAGAGTTCTATTCAAAATTTTATTAAACCATATTATCAATATATACCAATAAACTTGGCATTAAAATGTTGTTTTATACTTTATTATAATTTTTTATTATGTTATATAAGTTTTAATTTCTTATTTTTAAGTGTGTGTGTGTGTGTGTAAATATATATACATTAGTGTTTGAATGGGTACCAAAAATCCTACCCAGATAGGTTATTCAAGTGGGTATCCGAGAGCCCGAAAATTTCTGACCACTATCAACACAACAGTTTCTAACGTGCAGAAGACAAGACGATGTGACCCATTATGTCACAAAGTTTAAGTTTACTTCATGTGCAGTGTTGTCTTTATTTTTTGTAGCAGTTGCTTATCTAAAACTGCCAATAATAAAGTTATGAATGTTTGGATGGAAAAGTAAAAGAAAACAATAAATGATATAATTATAAATGAAAGATGAAAATGTTAACCTTCAAACTTTTTTGCAGCTATCATAAATACTATAGTATAGGCTACTGTATGTATTCTCACTATTCTGCATAAGATACTGAAACATTCAAACAAACATCTTGAATTTTTAACTTGTCACCAATTAGTAATGAGCACCAATTTAGTCATCATGGAATTAGTATAAAAGTATAAAGCTTCCAACTGTTACTTCGATTGGATACTATAAACTTATTGGTAACTGGTAATGAAACAAAGTAATCTTTACTGGTTCATTCACCCTGGCTGACTGTCATTACACAATACCCCTTGCTGCGAAGGCAATACTCGTATATGACAATGACACTTGGTTGTATGTACGTGTTATGGCATCTACAGCTGCCTGTCGTATAACACACATTGAGAGATTACAAGACCGTTGAGTGCACCTGTGCTATCATAGAAGTTAACACAATTGATGGGTAGAACTTACCTCAAATATTTCAACATAGGCCCGGCATGGGCAGGTGGTTAGGGCGCTCGACTCGTAATCTGCGGGTCGCGGGTTCAAATCCCCCGTCGCACCTAACATGCTTGCCATTTTCACCATGGGGGCGTTATAATGTGACGGTCAATCCCACTATTCTTTGGTAAAAGAGTAGCCGAAGAGTTGGCGGTGGGTGGTGATGACTAGCTGCCTTCCCTCTAGTCTTACACTGCTAAATTAGAGACGGCTAGCGCAGATAGTCCTCGTGAAGCTTTGTGCGAAATTCAAAAAACAAACAAATATTTCAATGACAAAACTTTGAAAATTCCCATTAAGATTATTGTGTGAATTTCTCACTTAAATTGTAGTTAAGTGAAACGATTCTACGGCAACAATTGTCACATCCTAATACCTCGAAGTATGATGAGATGCAGCTAGTGGAAACAAGTTAAACTAGTTACACAAAAATGTAAACTTTTGGAAGGTTAAATCTATGCTGATACAATAATTTACAGTATTTACTTTTGCAAATCACACATTCATCTGGTTTGAAAGTTTCCTGTGAGTGACAAGCCTAATTTCTGTCCTAAAAGGTCGATCGTTCTACAAAGTGGTGGTAACCACTAACTGACTCCATGTAGTAAATTGGCCGATAATCGTTTAACAAAAAAAATTTCAAATGGACTATTCAAAATTTTCTGCTTACATAATTGATTCTTTGTCTCCTATATTCATCATTGTCAATGGAGGAGGTAAAAAGTTGATATGGTATAAGCAAATTTTGAGAGAAAAATGAACAGTTGAATAACTTGATTTACAAGGTACACAAGAATTTTTGTACACTGTTAAACTTAAAAGATCAATGACTTTCTAAACAATGTTGCTGGCCTGCCACTAGAATTTAATGTGTCTATCACTATGATTGTTTCCACTTTCATCTTCACTCTGTGTCATGACTTTTTTTGCTTGTTTCTGATTTTTGCTTACCGTTTACTCTCTAAAATAATAGCTTGTCTGCAGTTCTGTGTATTTTACTTGGACTTAAATTTTGCATAACTTTTAAAAATGGGGTAGTAAATTTAAACCAGGTAAAAGTCGTGACAGGTGGGTACCAAACTGGACATCCAGTGAAAACACTAATATACATATGAATAAATGTCAAACTTTTATTGTTTTTATACCACATAACACTTCATTAGTCCAAACTTCCCAATTTAACATTTTCTGCTTGTTCATTTGAGGCATTGTAAATTTCTGTAGAATTTTGACTTACAATATATGTATCCTGAACTATACTGTGAACTTGTAGCAAGATAGCTTTTTGCGTTACAGACATAAACAATAAAGTAAAAGCCACGCCACACCTCCCACAGAGCATCTTGCCTTCAAATTGTGTCATAAATTCTCTATTTGCTATTGTATTATTTATAACCAATAGAAAGTGAAGATTTCAATTAACAAACTGCTACAAGGTATATAGGCCTTGAGCTAAATGGATCTTAATGAACATGGTGATGTCATTTTCTTTGTATGCCACTTTTGAATGGGAATTGTTTTAAGCTATTTCTATCTTAATTAGAAACCCAGGTAAATTATGTAAGTTGCAGAACATTTTATTTTATTTGTATAAAAATGATTCATATTCTGGATTGGATAATTGAATTAACAAACAATAGAGACCACCTTAATGATATGTTTAATTAGGATTATGTTTTGATGTTGACGTGGATTGTATGAGAGAGTATCTTGAAGACAACTATTGAAAATGAAAATACTAAATTTCTATTTTTTTTGTTTTTGTTTTTTATTTGTTGATATAAAATTAACTAAAATGTAGAAATTAGGAAGTTATCGCAAATAATTTTAAATGAAATAAATTATAAACTTGTGATCAATGATAGCATGCTTCAAGCTCGAGTATGGTTGTGTAATTTTGCATGAGAATGCTTGTAACTGAATCTGTAATTCACACAAAGCTGCCTGGTGTAATAAATAGCTATTACTGTAGCCTGAGAGGTTCTAAGTTTAACTGTAAATATAAGAAGGAAAAACCTTATTAGCTTAGGCTGTCAAAGTAAATGTTGTGTAATTGTATGTTACAATGTGCACATATTTTAGAAGGAAAAAAGAAATTTGTTTATTGCATATTTTGTGTAGTGGTTACAAGGTCTCTCAAATTAACTGAATTTGTATAGTTATGATAGAGAAAATAACATTAAAGTTTACTAAAAAGCTTTTGATAGTCATTTATAAGGTTTTTAGTGGTTATGAAATTAAAATTAGAAAATGGGAGTTTGTTCAAGGCTTGTGGCATGTGCAGGAAATTTCATAGCAGTTGCATGTAAGGTAATAGCTCTCAGTGAGACATAGATATCTATCTGAAATATATTTTCAGATAAGGAAAAAGTACTTATGTGTGAGACTTGTACTTTTTCAATTATTTGCTCTTGAAGTCTTGACAAAAGGTAACCTTACTTTTTGGCAGGGTTGTCGGTAGTACTTTTTATAGCTTTTATTTATATATATCCCTTGGCTGTAAGTTAGTTAACATTTCATTAACTGGTCAAGGTGACCTCAGCAAAAGTAACAATGAGACTGTAGGCTGAATAACTCAATTTATTGTTAAAACAAGCTATCCTTATAGGAAGTCAGTAAAATAAAAATTTTCTTTGTTAGTTGCAAATAATCCAGTAGCAAATGTCTGAGATTTATTGAAGGACAGAATGTGATAGTGGGGCAAGTGAGGTGGACTTTCTGGTTTATATCTCACTAAAGTGAGAAGTCTGGATGATATAGATAAATTTACATTGTTTCAGCAATATCTATACCATAAGTGTGTAATTTGTGTAAAACTTTGGTCATATAGGGGTAGAAATAAAATCTAAAATAGTCAATTAGGAATTAAGGAGTGTTATATGATATACAGATTAAAAAATTATTTAAATATCTTCTTTGAAAACCTAGGTTAAAACTTAATTATAAACTACGATATGAAATCAAGTGTTATTAACATCTGCAACATGAGCCAGCCCAGTATCTTTTAGTACCTGGCTTAGGATGGTTGACAGGGGGTCGTTCCAGAAGCCGGTGATTTAGGATTGTTTCCATTGATCTTGATGAATGAAGCATGGCACAACTTCTAAAATAAATAAAAACTAAATATTAATGAAAATATGGCATGATGAAATCTATATGGATTATACTATGGTGATATTATATTGGGCATAATACCATCCTTCTTATATTTACTTTTCAATGGAGAAATGGCATTTTTAATTTGAGAATCAATTGTGAAATCATGTAATGCATTGTGCATCTATTTCAACTTCAGCATTATAACTTTGGGCTTTACTGTGCTGTTGGTTTCACAAAATATTGAAACTAATGGTTTCTTGAATATGATTCCAATCCCCCTTTATGAAGATAATGATGATATTATGCCAGTTTTTTTTATGTTATACTGTCAGTAATCTGACCTGGACCCACTTAAACCATCACATTCACAACCACATCTAGAACATTTCAAACATGTTTCATTGCTACATAGTTTTACTTTACATTTACAAGTTAACTTCATGTTGGCTCTCTTGGTCTTGTTCCGATCATGGATTTCGTCCAGCAACCTAAACCTCAAATAGTGCCAGATGTTTTCTTTTTTTTTAAATCTACATTAAGATATGGGCTGGCTCGTGTGGCAGATGTTGATAAGTTTAGATTTTGAGTGTAACTAAAGAAGGTCGTGACATGTGCTCTTTGACCTACAAAGATAAATTCAGTGTATATGAACCTCAGATTTAAATCTTAAAGCATAAAATCTTTTCACAAAATGAGTGAAGTAAATAATTTGTAAAATTTTGTCTGTACATTTGTTTTTTTGCATTAATGTTGCATAGACATGCAGCTATTCTTATGTAAACCACAAAAATGTTGGAGTGGGTCGTTCAGTAGTTTGTCAAATTAATAGTTTAATTATAAAACACTGCTTTGTTATATAAGAACTTTCCCTCTTAGTGTCTATTCTATAACCCCATGTTGTGCAAGTTTTCTACACCTGCTATTCAGTAACTATATACAGCTTGTTTGAATGCTTTTGATTAATATTTCTTCAGTGTATGAAAATATGTACATTTCCAGGCAATATTTCATTTATATCTATTATGTTTCCTGGTGAAAATGCCTTTGTTCAAAAAAAGATTAATGTATTTTATAATTTTGAGCTTTAATTTTTTTAAGTTGTACCTTTTCTTAAAAGTAAATTTCTTCATTGCTACTTTAAAAAGAAAACATAAAATTACATCTAAATGTCATTTTTTGCATAACATTTAAAAGCAGATGAGGGGGGTTATATTCTGGTTTTAACATGTTGAACAAGTTCTGTGAAAAAAATGTATCTTAATTTAAAAAAATTAAATTTGAAATATTTTGATTAATCATTTCTTAAGTAGTTTGTAGTATTGAAAGTTTTTTTCATAATTTTATCAGGGTGAATTTAACTATTTAGAATGATAATTTTTATGCCACATGACATTTGTCATTGAAAGAAATTTGAATAGTCTATTTGTCTTATAAATTATGAAATAACTGTTAATGGTAAATTTAAATCTAATTTTTGTAAGTTTATAACAGCCAGCTTTTAGTTAAGGTTTTTTAAGTTTTGAATATTGCAATTTTCCATGCACATAACAGTAAGTTGTTTAACACTAAAGTTAAGTGCTAGTTCCATACATGTGCATCTTCACATGAATGTCCCTTTAGATTTTAATCTACTGCCTTTATGGAAGTTCTGTTAGTATTGTGATGCATAATGTTTTTGTTTTTTATTTTGAAATTCTTGCACATTGCTTCTTGTAGCTGCACCCAAACATGGCTTACAGTCGTTGGGTAAAATTGCCTCTGGGCGTCGTATGCCACCTCCAGCTAATCTACCAAGTCTAAAAAGTGAAAATAGTGGAAATAATCCTAACATTAGTCTTGTTCCTACTGGTGGTCAAGGATGGGGTGCTTCTGGGAAAGAAAAAGGGAAAGAAGAAAATGGGTAATTGTTTCTTCTTTTTAATTGTTGTATTTTTCATATGTTCACATATGCATAAAGTTATTATTGAATTGTGGTATAAAAATGATTGAAATTTAATTTGTAAAAACATCTGAGGGCCTGATTCAAGCCTTTTTCTAAGATGTGTTAATGTTCTTAGCACCTGAGTAAAGCTTATTAAAATGTCTAAATTCATGTTAAATACCTATATTAATTTCATGTGTAATTGAGAAGTATAAAACCATGTGTGCGTGTGGTATTGAGCAAAACAGGTTTTTAATTTTTTTTATTTTTATTATAGGAAATGTTAAAATTATGATTTATTAAATAGAACATTTTGTAATTTTTACTAAAAAATATGTCCACATACACATTTTACTGGTAAATAAACCATGTGCTGTCATTGAAAATCATTATGGTTGAAACTTATTTCCAGTACATGTGTAGAATGAATGACTGAGATCATTTTCTACACTTTAATTTTAATTTTTAATAATATATAATCATACTTAAAATTTTTAAATGTAGTGTTCTAGTTTCAGAAGTTGAAAGTTAAAATTCATGAAGACAACAACACATAGTCTTAAGTGTTAATCATTCTATTTATTTGTTTCTTCATGTTTTATCAGTGATGGTCATGTGTGTCTTATTTCTTTCTTATTGCAATGAGTACAAAAATTAGAAATGTAGTATAATCATAGATTTGTTTCAACTGTCAAAAACCAAGTTTAACCAGAATTTTTATAAATTCATTCACCTAAATCATAACTTGGGTAGTTTAATACTAAGAATACATAAAGTGATAATTATGACATTCTTATAAATAAAACGATTTAGTGAAGGGGGTCTTGTATATCACTTTATTATGGAACTATTATTACTGATATCTGATTCTCACTGTTGCTAACACACAAAGTAGTATATCATCAGTGGAGTGTATAATTGGTTTTTATATTGTTAACTTGTACACACTCTCCAAACATTGAGATTATGTTGATTAATTTTCTAATGAATTCAAAACATTCTTAGTTTATAAATTTGTCTGAATTTTTTATTTCTGTTTCCTTGAATTTTAGGTGCATCATTTACAGTAGTGTTATAGAGTTAACCCTGAAATTGGTGTCCACATATTGCATTATATTGAGTAACTTTGTCTTTGCCTGTTGTGACACCAATAAACTGAACTTACTCATTGTAAAATACATATGGAACCTCAGCAGTAATTAGTGGGATTATTTGTATACCAGTATTCCCACAAGCAATAAACAGTAAAAAAATCTTTAAAAAAGGCAATGGTTATCAACTTCATTGTTAATTTTAGGGTTAAAATTCTACATTTTGTTTTATCAGAAATTTACTTTAGTAGTATTCATTATGTTGTATAAAGTACCGAAACATTTTCTTTGTGTTCAGAGTTAAAGCTACCCAACATGTTTCAAACCAATCAGTTTATACTTTTGTGAGTTGTAAGTTTCTCTGCATTGATCAAATTATTTTTTAAAATTGTTTTCAAGAAAATTAATTTATGTATGAAAAATAATGTTATCTTTAAAATTTACAATGCTAGAGAGCAGTGAATTCACATCTTAATTTTTGTAACTGCTAAAAGTATCTTAAAAATCAATGTGAACCTTGTAATGATAAAGGCAAGTCTAAAACCTTTATATTATGTATTATCTCATGTAAAAAAAAAAAATTATTTTTTTGGCTATTTTCTGAGTATATTTTTATGTATTTAAAATACTCCTTAGTGGGACACAGCAACCATCACAACACTCACAGTCACCTTCTTTGCCATCGCAGGGACCTACTTCTCAAAAGGTAAAATTAGGATTTTTAATAATTATTATAGGCTGATAGCTTAAAATAATTTAATACCTTTTCTTATGATACAGTATTTATAAAAGCACCTCACCACACCCAAACAGGAATTCATAGTCTGTCTTATTCAGTTCAAAGCCTTGGTTTTAAAGGTCAAACATTATCCTCAATTTTGAATTCTGTTTGAGGATTTAGATTTTAACTACATGAAAATATGAAATCCCAATTTTGATATATTTAATTTACATGCATTTTTCTCAATCTTAAGTGTGAGAAAAGAAATACTAAAAATCTTGCCATACATATTCTTATGATATTACTTCAAGTGAGTTTGTCACAGAGATAGGAGCAAGATATCAGTTCTATCATGATTGCAATAATAATGTTTGTTTAGTAGAGTTGGATGATATAATTGATTACCTATGAGCAGTAATTACATCACTTAATGTCATAAATTAATATGTTAATCAAAAGTAGAAGTAACTTAAATAATTTCATGCAAATCAACTAATTGAAATTAGTGTATCCAATTATTACTGTCTTTGATTATTCCAGTTATTCAAGTAATCATAATTTTGCCACCACACTTGCATGCCCCATCTTTGTTAATGCAAACCTATTAAGGCTATTTGCTACTGTTACTAACATTTTATTTTATGATTTTTGCTTGTATATATCATGACTTGATGAATACTGTACTATTTGAGTAGGAGGCTGGTTATTAAGAAAATACGGCCTATTTTGCTTTATTTACTTGTGTTTTTCATATTGTGTGGGTGCTTAAAATATTCTAGTGTTAACCTGAAAGTTAATGTTTGTTTTTGTGCATGTGTAGACGTAATTAATGTAAGTATCTTTTTAACTGAAGCCTACAGTACCAAGTTCAACAACAGGAGCAAACAAAATGTGGCACAGCGTGACACAAAACCAAGAGGCTGGTGGTCCAGAAAAGACCTTCTTGGGCCAGCAGTCGCCATTTTTTCCTCAGGAATTCCCCAAGTTAGCTGGTGGAGATGTACGAACCGAAGGGAGCCAGCAATCCAACGTAGATACCCAGTACGGGCCAGGCCCAAGTCTCAGACCACAAAGTAAGTTTAACTTGTAGGTTATTTTTTTAATACTAAAACCACATAAAATGATCAGTGTGATCTGTATGTGACTTTGTTAGAGATCCAATTAATACTATGTCAATGGGTTTGAACTATTGGACTAACTCCACTTCTGTGAAACTATACATGGTAATGTTTACTAGACTTCTGAATTCACCATATGTATCTTCATAAAAGTTGGCAACTTTTTGGTAAACATTAGAAGGCTTTTTAACGTTAAGCACATGGGAGAGTTAGTGTGCATGGCATGATCTTTTTATAGTTATATTAAAAATGGAATTAAATAATTTTACTATCAGTGTATCAGTAAGCTTGGTATCAAGAAGTAGCTTATAAATCAGATTTTGATATTATCTGTTTTAATTTTTTTACCTTCAAAAGGAAAATTTAAAATATATTCTCAATCTTCACTTCTTTGTCATGACTTGTCTTTGCTTTGAATTACCCGTTTTAGGTTTTTATATTTTAAGCAGTTTTGCCATTAATCGGTTCAGCAATCTGAACTGGCTGATTACTGCAAAATCATGCAACGATCGAAATCAGTAGAATTAGTCAAATTTTGTGATCATGGAAAACTGATTGCTGAGAAATTAAAAATAACACCACCCAGACCACGTTATTCACAACAACAATCTTCTGATTGATTTGTAAGTATGCTTACAATTACGACCCTGTACTTTTTCTTTCAACACAAAATGCAAAACATTATTCACCATGTAATATAATATCATCAGATAAAACAATCTCTGGTTGTTTCTCATTTATTTACATAAGTTGATACACTGAATGGAAGAAAGGTTAAACAATGCATTGCACATCACGAAGCACATCCATTTCTTTATGCACTGGAAATTAGTAAATGGTCAATAACAGCACCTTATACACAGAGCTAATACACCCTGTGTGCTTGACAGGGATCTACGCTGACTTTTCCTGCAAAATTCTCGGAATGATACGCTAGGTGTCTCCTCATTAGTATCACACCCTGGATTGCTTCATTATTTTGGGGAGGTTTCTTTGCTAAACACATTAGTGATGGATTACTCTTTGCAAAGCTATATTGCTTGGGCTTCTGTAGCAATGATGTGATCTTTCATGTGTTTGTGTTTCCTCAAATTATCTCTGGAAATCTTAGCACCATTTTGTAAATGCGTTAGTTTTTGCTGTAATGCTCTAACTACAGATCATCTCACAATTTTCCACACTGAAGACAACCCAATAGTCTTCCAGTACGGCTGAAACTTTTCCTCTTCAACTATTTAACACATTTAAACTTTTTCCTTTTCTTTTGCATGGGATTGCATTACTGTTTTTGAATCCACAATTTTTACTTTGTGTTCTGGAACTACTGAGATTGTATTCCTCCCATGCTTGAAGAAAGTCATTTATTTTCATTGACATAAATGTCTGTTACAGTCTGCAGTCATTTAAAAAAAGAAAGGTATTACTTTTGTTTTGCTTGTTTTTTTGTTTTTTCTTGTTCACTGTACGTTGATTTTGTTACAATTAGTGTTAGTATAGAGAAAAATAGGAGAATGTATAAAGTTTTGCTGACAGAACAAACTTCATATTCATTCAAAAGGTTTGAGATAATGTAAATGAAATAGAGCTATAAGGTAAATATTTTAATTATTTGCATGATAATCACCTTTCTCTCAGATTTTGGTTTGGTAAGATGGGAGTAGCTTCACTGATGTGACAATTATATATTTGGAAATTGAGAAGGTGGAAGGCTCTAATTTTATATTTGGTCTGTCAATGTCTCCAATTTGTTTCTTATTGGTTGGGTATTCTGAACACCATGTTAGGGAATAGAACCTATAAAAGGAGGTTTTAAAAGGGCAACAAGTCGTGAAACAGAGAAGGTTGAGTATATCCTTTTGGAAATTTAGATAATATAAGACTTGAATAATAAATATTTTGATGCAAATTTATCAACATACATTTTTAATAATTTTTAATAAAAATTTTGAATGTAACTAAAAGGTCATGACGTGCACTTTGACCTGATCTGAGTACATGTTTAAGAAACCGAAACAAAGGAATTTTGTGACATATCTTATGTTTTTATTTCAGTTAAAAGAAACAACTATATCTCACAAACTGTTGTCTTGTGGTTAAGGAACTTGTGAAGAAAGTCAGACTTGTAGCCAATATTGTATCTTTTATGTGCGAAATAGTGAAATTTGTAATTTCTATTTTATCTTGGATATATGCATGTAAAGACTTGTGTATTAATTTGTAGCTATTTTCATATATCCAGAGATGTAGACAAGTTTTTATTCTGTGGTATATTCCTCCACTTTATTTAGCATCAATAGGGTTGTGTGCCAGATGATGATCTTTTATGACAAATAACTAAATGAGCAACAGTGTTGACTTAACTCATCACCCACTTTTCTGATGGCACATACTTGTAGTAGAATGCCTTTGACTCTCCATTGTGATAATTGGGCTTCTGTAGTATTACATATTGTATTTCTAATTTAACATCATGATAAGTGTACAATTTTTTGAGAATTTGAAACTTGAAATTTTTGTTTGTTTGTTTAATATTTGAGAACTTCTATTAAAAAATTAGAAATAGTTTAATATAACTATCTTGTGTCTTTCTTGTCAACTGTAAATTCTGCAAGTGTGTGGTGGCGTAAGGTATTCTACTTGTTGAGGAAATTAAACAACCATATTTACTACTAGTATAGCATATCTATTTTCATAAATAGTTTATTGAAAAAATTTTTGCATTAAAAATTATTTTTGAAATTGCTTAAATAGAATTTAAAACATTTATGTGCTGTGTAAGAGCAACATTATGCTGTGAAGTCTTCAGAATGTTTTTGTGGTTGTTAAAGGTACATAAGGGTGTAACTAATTTTATCTGCTTTTGTATTTAATGTTGGACTACCATGTTTGCATAATGGCTAGTATTCTTTGTTATGGCACTATCAATCAGAATTCTGATTTAAATGCTAAGACCACAACATTTATAAGTCATATGCACTAATGCTGTTCATAGTAATAACTGAAATGATTCATCCAAAAGAAATTTTATTGAAAGCTGTCTTCACTTGCAGGTTAGTCGGTTCTTGAGTGCTTGAAGTAAAATATATAAATAAATTGGCACTTTTCAGTAAATTGCATACTAGTCAGTTAAAAGTAAAACTAACTTCTTCATGTTATATATTTTTCATAATTTATAAGCATATTTTGGTTTTATTTCTAGATAATCTTAGAATATTTACTGCTTTCTACACAAATACGAGTTGTATGTATAAATATAATGCATGATCATATGATTTTTAGTTTTGACTTGCTATTGATAAACTTAATTAGGTACAAGGTTTGGTTTTCATGTGAACTATCTTTAAATTGTTTCCACAGAATTTGCTTATTAAAAGTACAAACTTCATGGGTTTTTGAGAGGAAATATGAAAATGAAACAAAGTATCATAAAGCCAAAGAGATTAGTTAATATAGAAGAGGGATTTAGAAAATACTGAGAAATTGTTAAAGCTATAGGAATAAAGCTTTTTCTTGTTTTTTTATTTTATTTATTTAAATGTACATGTTTCCTATACCTCTTACTTAATTACATGTAATATTTTTCCAGCGGAGGGCAGTTGGGGAAGAGGAACTCAAAAACCACAACAGGTAGGTTCACCAGGAAACCAGCCACAGAGCAGTGGCAGTGGCGTGAACGGTCAGCAGACCAGTCCAGAAGGACAAACACCAACACCGCCACCCCCTCAAATTCAGCGAGAACCACGTACATTTCTACCACCTTCACAAGCTTTGCCACCAAACAACAGTGGTGGAAGTATTGGTGTTGGGAGTGGCGTTCCTGGCCCTAGTATGGGTGCTCTCCATCAACCACCACCTCAGTTTAGAGGAATGCCTCCTTATGTAAGTAGTATGTTTGTAAATATATGCTTACTACATTGAATAGTTTTTTATTTTATTGTATGGCAGGGTGTATAAAAGTTATAGTGCTGGAATTATTGGATATTTATTCTTTTCTAATGAAAGAGCAGTGTTAAAACACTTAGTTCTTGTTACCATGTCAGCTTTTTAATATCCTAAGATATTTTAGCTGTTTCTTGCATGTATACATCTTCCATTGAAGTATAATGTGAATGTGTCTGTAGGTGTGTTACAAAAACAGATATTTTTGTTAATAAATTAAAAAGTTAAGGCTTGGTATGATAAAAACTATTCTGTGTACATTTTTCATAAAGGAAAAAATTGAATTTTTCACCAAAATGTGTTTTCCAAACCATAAATTATATTGTAGCAGCCAGTGAATAGTTGCATATCCTTTTTTTTTTCTGTTTTTGTTAATCCATTAATTTTTCATAGAAGTTGTTATATCATTCAGCTTCATTGTTAATGTTACAAGACGGGTCACAGGTCAAAGGCCAAGTCATTGCTTTTGTTGAACTACTATTTTATGAATTGATATCAGTAAGTTTGATATCAAACTAGATTATAAGATAATTCAAATTTTAGTATTATACATTATTCAATTTCTTAATTTAAAAGTAAATATTAAAAAAAAACTTGAACATTGATTTTTGTGTGTCACATGGTATGTTGAATGCAGCATTGGTTCAAATTAGAGGCTTGTGGTGTCAAAATACTGTCCATAGTTTCATACAAATTAAGAACTCAAATTACCAGTATTGACAAGCTAGAATATAAAATACAAACCTTCTATCTTTTCTATTTGCTGAGATATCACTTATGTACTGAATCAAACACAGTGGCCCTGCTCACCTCTTTCCATTTTTGGAAACATTCCCTTATGTACACTTATTTCTGTATATGACATGTGAATAACCGGTTGGAAGCTCAAAGTTGGGGTTTTTCATTCTTCCCAAAGTGTGTGAAACATGAATTTAATAGATTTACCAGCAACATATGTTACATCAACCTTCATGAGGGAGAGAAATCTTGTACAAAATATAACCTGTCACAATAGGCATAGAAAAACTGTTACCAGTGTAGGAGATTGAAATATTCATTAGTTGTCAGTAAGATTTCCAGAAAAAATGCTCAAAGTGTAGATAGCGTCTTCAAACGTTTGTCTCAAGATAGTACAATGTTTTATCTTTCCTAGATGTATAACAGAAACTTTCCTGCTGGTTATACTCCAAACTATTCTGGAATGCCACCAATGACTAGGCAGCCATATCCTTATCCAGAAAACAGGTATGTACCTAGTAATGTGAAATTTGTTTGCAAAAAATAAATCTTTTTTTATTTTTTCTCTCTCTCTCTCCCTAGTCTATTTTATTTGTCCATATATAGTTGTGTATTATAAATTGTGCATAAAACTATTTCATCAAAACTGTATTTGAAGCTTTTGACTGTTGGGTCAGATAAGAATCTCTTCACCTAAGGTTCTGAATTATTGGATAAAATATTTAAAAAGGACATTGATCTGCTAGTTTTTGTATTTGGAGTGCTGAAACAATAGTTGCTTGTTGACAAAACTCATCACCCACACAACTGATGGATTTGCTTATCTATCATTAAATAATCTGCTAGTGAAATGAAATTTTTTTTGAACTGCAATGTTTTTGTTGTGTTGTACAAAACAAAACAAAAAAACTTAACCATAAATACTAATATATATATTGAAACTAATAAATCATACAGCATATTGTTCTTAAATATTTTTTTATAATATAGTTTTTATTTAAGTTAACAAAAATTATTCTTGTATATTGATCAGTTTTTACCATCAAATTTAGTAGGGTACGACCTCCAGCTCGTCATTTACCCGAAGAAGATGCTTATCAGCGACCAGCAGCAATCATTACTGAGAAAGACCTTAAAGGGTTTGATGAAATTTTGCAAAATGATTCCCAGGATGGATGGGCAGCAGCACAAGGAGAAGTTGATTATAAGTGAGTTCTTGAAATAGTTTAAGGATATATTTGATTTAGAACATCAATTTTGCTTATGACCATGAAGATATACTAATACTTAAGAATTTCATGAAACTGGTAAAAGTGTTTTTATACAGTTGCATATGCATACTTATAAGATACCAAATTTGGAAAATTGTTTATAAGACTTAAATATGAACATTTACAAAAAAGAGAACAATTTTTCTTCACTTTAAGGCAACAAAGGGTTTATTTGGGGTGTTGAATAGTTAAAAAAATGTTTCTTATAATATGATTTATCCTTTTGCAGTGCTAAGCTGGTTTTTAGTGATGATGAAGATTCAGCACAGCCGTCACAGAAGCATTCACGGTTGGTATTCTGTTTAAGAACAATTGTACATAAAAGAATTTTTGAGTAAATTAACTTGAGTTTTGCTTTATTACAAAATGCATTTTTATACAAGTTTTTATGTAAACAGTGTAATAACACTTCAGTGGAAGATATAATGGTTTTCAGGTGTAGTAAGCTAGTTTTTGACCATTCATTTTATTTTTTAATTTTCTGTTTGTTTACCAAGTGATGTGTATTTGGAGTGCTGAAACAATAGTTGCCTGTTGACAAAACTCATCACCCACACAACTGATGGACTTGCTTATCTATCATTAACTAATTTACTGGTGAGATTAATAGAATGTTAAATGTTACTAATCACAAATAAATAACATTAAAGACAGTTGGTGATTATTTAATTTTTTTTAAGTGATAAGAAAGACCCTAGCTCACTCTCCCGAGAGAGAGACAGAACTGGGAAAAGCTATGACCAAGATAATGAGGCTGACAAGCGTAGAGATGGTAAGACTAGAGACCAGTCAAAGGATAGAGATATAGATTGGGAGGATAGAAGAGAAAGTTACGAAAGAGTAAGTATTTATTTTTGAGTAGAATTAGT